CATCCATCCATCCATCCATCCATCCATCCATCCATCCATCCATCCATCCATCCATCAATACATCCACCCACCCAATCCACCCATCCATCCATCCACCGACCCACTCCATCCATCCATCCATCCATCCGGAAAACACTCATCCACTTACCTACCTACGTGTATGCATATATACTACGTACAGGCAGTCCTACAGGCTACTACTTACCGTACAGGTACTCGGAGCAGCCCGCGTAACCCTCCTCGTCCTCCTCACACTTCTCTGCCGCCGTCTCGTGGTCGCTGTACGTCGTAGCGAAGATGCACGCGCCGTGCACGACGAGAAACTTCACCATCGGCAGGTTGTTACACGAGGCAGCGCAGTGCAGCGGCGTCCTGTATCAATGAATGAATTGCAGTTAACTGAATTTAACGTCCGAGAGATGGCGCTGCGATACTGTTTTACAAGTCGTTACACAACTTGTGGCATCGTATTTTATGTCTCGTTCAGATGATTATGTTTCGTGTTCCCTTCGCTCGTCTGTTCGCTTACCATCCGTCGCTGTCGGCAGAGTTTACGTCGCATCCAAACTCGACGAGGAATTTGACGATGTCGTAGTGTCCGGCACAGATGGCGTTGTGCAGTGCCGTGATGCCCTCATCGTTGGAAGCACTCGGATTGTGAACCTTCCGTGGAACAACGAAGCCTATGATCACACGTTCTTATCGTCCATGCTTACAATTGTGCATTATGATTTCTTATTGTGCGCTTGCTTATGCAATTGCTTTTATGCTTGTTTGTGCACGTGCTGATGTAATCACGTGTGCGCTTGCTTATTCGCTTGATTTCGCTCGCCCGCTTAATGCCGAGTAATGCTCAATTTTCTCATGATGATGAGAAACGTTTAAATTGCTCCATCATTTCACTTGTTAAACCTCATGTTGATACTTCATTGCTAAATGCAAAATTTTCTGATCAGCACCACATTAACACATGAAGTTATGATCCAGAACACATGATCGTTACCTCCTTTGCAGTTTTCATGACCAGGTCCAGTTCCCCTTCTAGTGATGCATCAAGCAGTAGTGCCAGTGGATCAAAGCTCACTCTCCTCTTCATTCCCTTCTCAGTTGATACCTGTGTATAACATCAATACAATGTAACATCGGCGTGCACTGTGTGAGACACTGTGTAAAGGGGCGTAGCCAGCCTTTCCAAGAGGGGGGATTCCTTCCAAGAGGGGGGATTCCAAACCTACTATATACTAATAAAACTTCGTTAAAATTTTCGTTTCATGCTTTTATATACATACTGTATCAGATATGTGCTATTTTGATACAAACCAGGGGGGATTCCGGAATGCCTGGAATCACCCCTGGCTACGCCCCTGGTGTAATTGCAGTGTACTGTATTACAATATTCTAGCTTCTGTTAGTTGCGAGGCACGTAGTTAGGGCACTCGCTTCCTCTGCCCGCAAACATGATTTATTTCATAGGCGCGGATCTACGCAGATTTCAGTAATGATGACGAAATTTATCAAAATAGCTGGAAATATCTGAGCCAAGTGAGGATGTGACTCGACGCCTACGTATTGGCAAACACACTAGCCACCATTTGTTTCCGGCATGCAGCAGCAGCAGCACAAGCCAGCATCCATCGTTAAGCTGAAACTACCCCGGTTCAACGATTTAGTTGCAAGCCTACCTTCTTCTGTCGGTTGTTCATGATTGGTTTCTGCACATCCCTGACAAGCTGTACTGTGCTGCTTGACTGTGGTGACCGGGAAGGGGAGGAGGGAGGGGAAGATAGTGGTGGCGGCTGCTCCAGCGACGAAGAATCCTCCTGTGTGAAACCAAACATTCGACTCTGAGGATCGGTCTACCGATGACGAACCAGAATAGCGATTGTACAAAAGTCGTCAATAAAATTCGTCGACTGTACAATTTGTCAATAAGTTTCGTATATTTATTTGCTCGACTTCTCCCTAAAGACGAACTCATCTCTTTATACTGTTATCACTGTTTATTTTATTATAATTAAAAAATTATTATTATTTTGCGTTCTTCGTTATTATGCGTGACATTCTTTACAAACGAGCCAATCCTTGCCAGAGGGAGGGAAGAAGGCCGGTAGGTAATGTATCTACTAGGCGTGAGTAACAGCATTAGCCATCACGACGTTCTCCTCTCACCTCTTCCTCGTCCTTATCCTGCAGCTCCGTGACGACATTCACTACGTCGTCGTCGCCGGCAACAGCGGGCATCTGCTGCTCCTCCTCCTCTATCCGCGGCGGCGGAGGCGGCGGGGTTGCCGCCGTCGCCAGCATCTCGAGGTTTGTGCTGCCGGGGATGGCCTCGGCGAACGAGTGCCGCTTCTTTACCGACTTGGTGATGTTGGGTATGAAGCTGTCGATCAGCGGGTAGTGCACGCTGGGGGCGCCGGGGTAGCGCGGCGGCGGGTTGTAGCGCGGAGCCTTGTCCGGCGACTGATGCCCCGCGCCGCCGCCGCCGATGCCGCGCAGCTGGAACGCCGACGGAATCTCGATGCGCCGGCTGCGTCCGAACACGGCCTGCTTCGTCTGAGACGGCGGTGGCTCGCCCGCTGTCGCCGCCGGCGGTGGCGGCAACGGGGGCAGGGAGCTCGAGGAGGAGAGGTCCTTGGAGTCCAAACTGGTTGCCTCCGAGACGTCTGGCGAGGCAGGTGGTGCGACGGTTGCCTCGGGTGTCTCCAGCTTTGCCTCAGCGGGGGCGGGGGCGGGGGCGGTGGGAGCGGCCTGGTAGAGCTGCGTCATGTTCTTGCGGTACTGGTCCATCGCCGTGGTGCCCAGCCTCCCCGCGAACCGCCCCGCGTTCACCGCGCGCGGCTGGAACCTCCCCGCGCCCGCGTCGCCGCCCGCCGGCGCCCTCTGCTCGACCACGCCCGCGTCGACCGCTTCCTTCCCCGGCTCCGGACTCGGCGTCGCCGACGTCTTCTCTTCCGGCTTCCTCTCCGTGGCGGACGGAGGAGGAGGAGGAGGAGGCTGCGCGCGTTCCTCCTGCGACAGACTGCTGGTGGACGACAGCGAGCTCACGGAGGTGGGAGGCGACGGCGCGGCCGGTTTCTGCTGCTGCGCCGGTGGCGCCCCCTTCGACACGTTTATCGTGATCGGCTCGCGCTTGACGGGTCGCATGAACGCGGGCGGGTGGAGCCGCACGCCGGGCGGCGACGCGCGCGCGTCCACGGGCGAGCGACGCGCCACCGCCGCGGTGCCGCCCTCTGGCGACGACGGGCTGCTGAGGCCCTCGGCCTGGCCGCGGCCCGGCTGCGTGGCGTGCTGGCGCCGCGTGAGGTACTGCTCCGTCGTCTTCTCCGCCTCCTTCAGCGTCGCCTCCATCGCGGATATCACCGTCGCCTGACCGAGCGTCGGCACGACGACCGGCGACGGCGGCGACCCCGCGTGTCCGTTCGCGGGCAGCGTCGTCGCCTCGTCGGCGGGCGGTGGCGTCTTTGCGTCGCGGCGGTCGGACGCCGTCTGCATGCTGATCAACTTCGGGTGCATGTCGTCAGCGAGGGGCGACATGACCGGCTGCTGCTGCTGCTGCTGCTGCTGCTGCTGCGGTACGTGTTTGAACGGTTCGACGGCGGCGACGTTGGCGCTGAGAGGGCGCGTCCGACCCTTCGCCGCCGCTCCCCTCAGCTGCACCTGCTGCTGCTGCTGCTGCTGCTGCTGCTGCGGGCTGTTGTTGCCATTGTTGTTGTTTCCCTGGCGCTTGCGGCGCAGACGCTGCGTTAGCTCCTCTATGCGCTTGTCTATGACGCCCATCTCGTTCTGCTTCTCGGAGAGCGCGTCGCTCTGCGCGACCAGCTTGCCGTGCTGCTGCTCGTTCAACTTGTTACGGATCTGCAACGACGACGACGACGGAGACGATGACACGATACAAGAACCCGCTAATGATTCGACAGTCATCAATGCTTCATCTACGCGTACTGTATTTACATTAGTAACATTTATTATACATGCTATACGAACTACATAAATGAATACAAACTATATATTATTAATTAATATTTCTTATTGTAATTAAAATATGGATCACAATGAAAATCATAACGGCGAGCGCACACCAAGCGGCGCCACCTACCATGAGTTCGCGACGCAGCTTCTCGAGTTCGACGGCGGCGGGTGAGTGCGTGTTGGCGGTGCTGCTGTAGCCGTTCGTCTTGCCGCGGCGAATCTCCTCCAGCTGTCGCGTGAGCGAGTCGACCTTCGCGACGGCCGTCGTCAGTTCTATCTCCTTCTCGCTGAACAGCACCCGGATGGAGTCCAGCTCTGCTGCTACATGGGGTGGAGAGAGAGAGTGTGAGAGAGAACGAAACGAAGAGAGAGAGAATGTGTGAGAGAACGAAAGAGAGAGAGAGATAGGGCGTGTCAGAGAACGAAAGAGAGAGAGAGTGTGTGTGTGAGAGAACGAAAGAGAGAGAGTGCGTGTGAGAGAACGAAAGAGAGAGAGAGAGAAAGCGCGAGAGAAAGTGCGCGTAAGAGAACAAAAGAAAGAGAGAGAGAGCGCGAGAGAGAGAGTGCGTGAGAGAGAACGAAAGAGAGAGAGAGACAGAGAACGAAAGAGAGAGCGAGAGCGGGAGAGTGCGTGTGAGAGAACGGAAGAGAGAGAGAGAACGAACGAGAGAGAGAGAGTGCGTGTGAAAGAACCAAAGAGAGAGAGAGAGAGTGCGTGTGAGAGAACGAAAGAGATGAGAGAGAAAAGAGAGAAGAGAGAAGAGAGACAGAGAAAGAAGAAACGAAAAGAGACGAAAGAGAGAAAGAGAG